CTACAGGGTGGGGCCCCCTAGTTATAAGTAGGTTATAAGGGCCCTAAATTGGGTTATAAGGACCCTAAGTTAGGTTATAAGTCCCTTAACTACAGTTAGTATAGTAAGGGGGCCCCACCCTGTAGACGCCATTCTTCTGGTAACCGTTTTGGGGGTTGGGGGGGCTGGGGGGGGGGTTAGGGTTTAGGGCTTAGGGTTTAGGGTTAAGGGTCTAAGGTTTAGTTCGATTTTATGGGGGGGGGGGGGGGGGGGGGGTGGCGGGTTAGGGTTCGTAGCGTTATAGGGTTTAGGGTTTAGAGGTTAGGGTTTATGGGGTTTAGGGTTTCGGGTTTCGGGTCCATAGGGTATCTCTCAAGAAACCTCTAAGCTTTGAGCAGAACCACTCCTACTTCTGAGGACGGCAGAAAATGAAGCAGAGGCTCACAGGCCACTACTGAAGTCCTCAAGCCCCGAAATTCAGCCTCAACTAAACCCTAAACCCTAAACCCTAAACTCTAATTGGCGATCAAGCACCTTCCTTCCGCCTTTTATTGAAGCTTGGTAGACCAAACCATATTGTAGTAAGGGCACCCTTGTTTGGGTTGGCTACTTTACAAGGGAACCTTGAACCCAAAAAAGGGAAAAGGGCACCACTGGGCTACCAAGGAAACCTTTTAAGGAAGCTGCATGGGCTGTGTGCAAAATAGGCCCGTAGCGATGACACGCTAAGTGACGCTTGAGCTCAGGGTTCAGGGTTGAGGGTTTTCAGAGCCCCCAAGCTTTGTGTTTAGGGTTTAGGGTTTAGGGTTGGCTTTTCCGATCAACCCTAACCCCAAAAACCCCCCAAACTGTGGATCCTCCCTAACTAAACAGGTCCTTCCCTAAACCCTAAACCCTAAACCCTAAACCCTAAACCCTAAACCCTAAACCCTAAACCCTAAACCCTAAACCCTGCCTCCCCTTGCTTCCAGCGCCACACGCCGGCGGGCAGAAGACCCGGGGGCTGCGGAGAAGAGCAGAAACGTTGGCGGCGCCAAAGCGAAGAGGAGTGCCAAGCCTCTCATTCCAAAAGTCGGAGGGTGCAGGGTCGAGAGGCCTCCTAAACCCTTAGCCCTAAGCCCTACAAGCCCTAAGCCCTGAGGCCCTAAAACCCCATTTACACCCCAAAACCCCAAAGCCCCCACATCTCCGCACCTTGCAGCAACGTGACACCGCGGCGTGCACGACAAGCTTTGGGCCGGGACATGGCTTTTTCACGCGTTTATGAAAATTGCGTGGCGTATGGGGGGATCCGAAGTATGGGCCCTCAACTTGGGTCCCTTGTTATATGGGCCCTTAATTTAGATTCATACCTGGGGCTATAAGTACCCATGATCCTCCGAGTACAGGAAGTCGAGCTTCTAGAGGGGCTTTCAACCCTATAAACCCTAGACCGGACATACGCTTGTGAGAGGTGAAGGCTAGCAACGGGCCCACAATGACTTGGGGCTTTTCGCAGTGGGTGGTGTAGGGTTTAGGGTCTAACTAGGGTCTAGAGGGTTTAGGGTTTAGGGTTTAGGGTTTAGGGCTGAGCGCCTCCACGATCCTTCACCTCTCCAGGGGCCTTCTGCGCTCCTGTCTTCTCATGGTCTTAATAACAGCCTCGCCGCATGAAGCTTGTAGCCAAATGGCTCGAAGGTGCATGCTCACACCCTAAACCCTAAACCCTGAACCCTAAGCCCTAAACCGTAAACCCGAAGCCCTAAACCCTAAACCCAAAACCCTGAACCCTAAACCCGAAAACCCTAAACCCCAAAACCGCAATCATGAGCATTCTTGCTCTTAGCCCTATGTGATCCTCAGAGAGCCAGGGACCGTGGACCCCGCTAGGCCAAGGGGTCTCAACGCGCACACATGCGTGGGCAAAGGGCGCCCTTTTTGGAAACCCTAAGCCCCAAACCCCAAACAGAGGTTTACAGGGTATAGGGTTTAGGGTTATGTTTAGTGGATAAGGAGTTTCGGGTTTAGGGTTTACACCCCGTCCCCTCTTGAGGTCTTAGGGGGGGGGAGGAGGATTCTAGCACCCAGGAGGCTGCATTGTAGGGGCTACAGCAGCTGGACGCCGGCAGTATATATATATATATACATATGTGTATATATATATATATATTAACCATAAACATACACACACATATATATATGTATCTATATAAATATATGCTACCCCCCCCCGGGTTATCCACGCTTTTTTGTGGTTATCCACGCTTTTTGTGGTTATCCACGATTTTTGTGGTTGCGAGCCAATTAGATCGTTCACGGGCCGCGGTGACCCCTGAACTCCCCCCCCTCCTCCAATAGCCCAATCCCCTACATAACGTAAATGCATGCAATCCTTGAGATGTCGAGTCCTCTCCATCTGTCCAAACACTGGGCGCAGCGACCTTCTCCCCTCCCCTCCCTTCCGCTCCGCTGCGCTCCCTGTTTTTTTGCAAAGGCTTTTTTTTCAGGGCTAAATCTCTAAACCCCTTATCGGTTCAGGTTTAAGTCTTATAAAAAGAGAGGCACCGAAACCCTATAGGGTTTAGGGCTTAAAGCCGATAGGGTTTAGGGTTAAACCTGAACCTGAACCTTTAGATCCATAGGGTTTCAAGGTTAAGCAACTAAACCCTTAACCTTTAATCCTATACGGTTATTAGGTTTGAAGATTTTAGGATCTAGGTATTTAAACCTAAGCCTATAGAGTTTAAACCTTAAGGGTTTACGGTTTAGGCATCTAAACCTGCACCCTTTAGGGTCAGAACCCTGAAAGCCTATAGGGCTATACAAGGCTGAAAAGTTTTAACCGCATAGGCGCCAAAGGTATACATGCCCAGACCTTAGGTTTTCAAACCTTGAAATCCCATAAAGTCTAAAGTTTTAGGGTTTGTCAAGGTATCTCTAAAGCCCTCACGGGGTTAGCCTGATAGGGTTTAAACCCTATAGGCCTATAGGGTTCAACAGTTTGGGGCTTTAGGTTTAGGCATTGCCTGTAGGATTAGAGCCTGAAAAACCCTATCAGGCTTGAGGCTTTTTTCCCTAAACCTAAAACCCACATGGTTATGCCTCTGTTTTTTAGGGCTTGGTGGAAATGCAAAGAATAAGCAGAATAAGTGCCCACACCATGTATCGGGTTCAAAAGTTTAGGTGTCTTAAAGGTTTATAAGCCCATGGAGATAAACCGTAAGGGCTTACGGCTTAGGCATTTGAATCTAAATCCCAAGCCCTTTTGGGTCAGAACCCTGAAAGCCTATGGGGCTCTAAAAGCCTCAAAGGTTGTAGCCCTATAGGCTCTGAAGGTATACATGCCCAGACCTTAGTCTTTCAAACCTTTAAAACCCAAAAATGTTATCTCTAAAGCCCTCACGGGGTTAGCCCGATAGGGTTTAAACCCTATAGGCCTATAGGGTTCACATGTTTATGGTTTAAGGTTGAGGTATTACCTATAGGATGAGAACCTTATAACCCTGTGTACGACTCACCTTTACGTACTATTTGATGTTTCTCTTTGACCTGTTAAAGCTTCAAGGATTTTAAAGAATTTACAAAGACCCTTCAATTCTTGAAAACCCTGTAAACTCCTTAAAATATTGAGAGGCCTCTGTCTTTCAACATTTTAAGGATGTTAAGGAATGTAAAAGGCCACTTAGATACTTTAAAATCCGTAAAATCTTGAAAAATAATTTCTTTTGGGAAATGCCCGGCCCTTTTGATTTTTTAACAATCCGTACATTCCTTCCAATCCTTGAAATTTTGAAACAAAATAGGTATTTTGGGAAACGGCCCGGCCCATTTAAATAGTCTAATTATGGTTTCAGCACATTTAGGACTGCAGCCTTCTAATCTCTAGATCCCTCAAGGGTTTTAGGGTTCTGACCCTGAAGGGTTTCGGGTAATTCTTAAAGCTTGGACCCTATAGGGCTAAACCCTATAGAGGTAACCCCGTCAGGGGATTAGAGATAATCTCCGAAAAGCCCTAAGGCTTTGGATTGAACTTCAAACTCGGGACCCTGGATTCAAGATCCCGGGGAAACTTTTCCCTAAAAACTTTAAATCTTGAATCTTGAATCCCGGAGTATTGAACTTCAATCCGGAGCATTGAACTTCAATACTCCGGGATTCAAGATTCAAGATTCAAGGTTCCAGGGAAAAGTTTCCCCGGGATCTTGAATCCAGGGTCCCCAGTATTGAAGTTCAATACCCCGGATTGAAGTTCAATACTTCGGGACCCTGGATTCAAGATCCCGGGTGAACTTTTCCCGGGAACCTTGAATCTTGAATCTTGAATCCCGGGAGTATTGAACTTCAATCCGGAGCATTGAACTTCAATACTCCGGGATTCAAGATTCAAGATTCAAGGTTCCAGGGAAAAGTTTCCCTGGGATCTTGAATCCAGGGTCCCCAGTATTGAAGTTCAATACCCCGGATTGAACTTCAATACTTCGGGACCCTGGATTCAAGATCCCGGGGGAACTTTTCCCGGGAACCTTGAATCTTGAATCTTGAATCCCGGAGTATTGAAGTTCAATCCGGAGCATTGAACTTCAATACTCCTTGTCCCTCATCGCGCTTGACCATTGAGGCCTTGAAATTTAAGTACACTATGCACTCTAGAACCGTCTCTCAAAGAAAACAAATTACGTTCGAAAAAAAGAAATACGCAGTGCCATAACAAGAAAAACACAAAACAAGCAGAAAAGGTGTGGATAACTCGGGGGGGGGGGTACCAAATATATATAAGGAGCCACATATACACTCAATCATAACTGTAAACCGCTCCCCCCAAATTTTCCCTGTAGCTATACTAGGAATATTTAATATTAGGGGGCGTGGGGGGGGGGTTAAGATTAGGGGGAGGGGATAACACCATCCTTCGACCGCCAAGTACAGGCCCACTTTTGCCGGGGGCTCAGCTTAGCTAAACCCTAAACCCTAAAGCCCAAACCCTGACCCCAAAATCCATGTTTAAATCCTTTGACCGCTTTGTGAACACTCCAGAAGCCCACCTCGTCTTTCGGGATCTGCTGGTCCTGAATCACAGCGACCTCCGCGCAGAGTGCGCAGCTAAACATCCAGGTTTTGGTGATTTAGGGTTTAGGGTTTCCGGTGAGTTTGGAGCCTATGGGGTTTAGGGCTAGGGGCCAGAGCTTGGGGTGATTAGGGCTTGAGGGGCTCAGGTACCGGGTTGAGCGGTTGTTTCGGGCTTATTAGGGCTTAGGAATTGAGGGGCGTAGGATTTCGGCTTTTGCGGATGGACAATCTTCAGGGGCTTAGTTCCCTGAACCCCTAATTCCAGGCGAGCTTTCCAAGACCCCCCACACCCCCCCCCCCCCCCTCCGCCCCACACCCCCCCTCCACACCCCCCCTCCACACCCCCCCCCCCCCCCCCCCCCCCCCCCCCACCCCCCCACCCTTTACGGTTTAGGCTTTAGGGTTTAGCGTTTAGGGCTTCGGATTTGCAATGATACAGAGCAACATGAGTACGGAAATAATAAACGATACCGTAGTAGTTATATACCCTAAAAGAATCACCACGTTTTTGTAGGGTTTAGGGCTCAGGGTTCAGGGTTTAGGGTTTAGGGTTTTGGGCTTGGGGTCCTGAAATGCACGGTTTCTGGCACCTTGGCAGAACTTCCGAAGCCCCGCGTCGCCACGGCGAATCGCGCGGTGCCCCGCGCCTGCGGAGGAATGGACAGCTGTGGGGAACTATGGCCCGGTAGGGTTTGGGGTTTAGGGTTTGGGGTTTAGGGTTTAGGGTTTGGGGTTTAGGGTTTACAGCTGTTTAGGGAAGAAGAGCTTGTAGGGCACAGGGTCAAAAGGGTTGATTGAGGGTTGAGGGCGTATGGTTCAGGGCTTGAGGAAGACTATCGGGAGGGGGACAAAAGGGGGGGGGGGGGTGGTGTTTCTGGTGTTGAGCATACAAGGCCGAAACCCGCAACCCTAAACCCCAGACCCCAAACCACACGCCTAAGTTGGTGTTGAGGGTGCACCGCAAGTGTAGTTTGGGGGGTTCTGTAGTAGTTCCCTGAAACCCAAAACCCTAGAAGCCCTGAACCCTAAATCTTATCCAATATACCGCACCCTAGCCACGGCCAAGATGGAAGCCGAAAGGGGTGAAACATCATGCTCACGGTGCTCATGTGTTGATGCGCAGAGGCCTTGGGGTCCTGTGCCTGCAAATCAGATGAGCTGGCCACCGACCCGCACCGCACAGGTGTTCCTAAACCCTGCTGCGACTGCCGACACAGCTCCCAAATCTGATGGCACATCACACCGACCATCTGAGTTGCCTCCGAAGCAGACGAGCTGACCATTTGACCGCACCGCGCAAGTATGACAATGCCCTGCTGCGACTGCCAAAACTGGTCCCAACTCTGGTGGAACATCGCACTGCCCATCTGCGTTGTCCCCGAAACAGACGAGCTGACCATCGGCCCGCACTGCACAGGTGTGGCAGTATCCTGCTGCTATTGCCAACACTGGCCCCAAATCTGGTGGCACATTGCACTGCCCAACTGAGTTGCCTCCAAAGCAGACGAGCTGACCATCGGCCAGCACTGCACACGTGTGAAAATGGCCTGCTGAAACTGCCAAAACTGGTCCCAGATCCGGTGGCACATCGCACCGCCCCGCTGAGTTGCCTCCAAAGCAGACGAGCTGACCATCGGCCCGCACTGTACACGTATGACAATACCCTGCTGCGACTGCCGACACAGTTCCCAAATCTGATGGCACATCACACCGACCATCTGAGTTGCCTCCGAAGCAGACGAGCTGACCATTTGACCGCACTGCACAAGTATGACAATACCCTGTTGCGACTGCCAAAACTGGTCCCAAATCTGGTGGAACATCGCACTGTCCATCTGAGTTGCCGCCAAAGCAGGCGAGCTGACCATCGGCCCGCACTGCACAGGTATGAAAATGGCACGCTGCGACTGCCGAAACTGGTCCCAACCAGCGGACATCGCACCGTCCATCCGAGTTGTCTCCAAAGCAAACGAGTTGACCACCCTCTCTGTGTGCCCGGCTTCCATGCTGGTCACCGGCCACGTGAGATTTCTCGGAGTTCAATGAGCATTTCAGAGTTCGTGCCCATCGATACATCTTGCCCGACAAGCACCCGACATGTCGAACCCGCGGCAATGCCAAACGTGACTGACCCAACCGCGGAACCCACGGAGAGCCCCAGAAGGATGCAGCAAACAAATGCATTGCCTGAGTAGCCCAGCAACCATATTATAATAAGGGCACCCTTTTTTTGGGTTGGTTACCTTTATAAGGGAACCAGAACCAAAAAAAGGGAAAAAGGGTACCACTGGGCTACCAAAGTTGCAGTCCGAGGTGTCAAGAAGATGGCTAGTGCCAGGCTCGCTTTCTCGGCGATCGAGAAAGGCATGCTGGCAAAGAGAGAAGAGGGCGGGGGAAGCTGCAAGCCCCAACCCTAAAAACCCTATACGCCCCTTACAGACAATGGGCAGTTCTCCAAATTGGGGTCCCTTTTTGGCTCCTATGTGTATCTATGAAGAAACAAACAAAACATAAATAGATAGATAGATAGATAACTAGATAGCACGGCACCCTTAAATATAAAACCCACCAAGAAAGGGACCCCAAATTTAGAGAGAGCTACCCTTGCGGTCGCTGAAACTCGGGCTGACAAGTTGCAGTCTCTGCCTGGAAAGGCTGAAGCAGCATGGCATGTGGGGTTTAGGGGTTTAGGGGTTCAGGGTTTAGGGTTAAGGAGCTTAAGGGGGCGGAACGATTCGCATGTCGCCAGGGTTTAGGGGTTTGGGGGTTTGGGGGTTTGGGGGGTTTGGGGGTTTGAGGGCTTGGGGGGCTTGGGGGGCTTGGGGGCTGTGTGTTTTGCGCTCAGGAGAGATTGTGTCATGATTGCTGCCTGATTCCTGAGCCTTATTCTGGGTATCGAGCTAGTTCGGAAGACCCTAAACCCTAAATCCCAAACCCGAAACCCTAAACCCTGAACCCTAAACCCTAACTAAACCCTAAACCTAAGCCCTAAACCCCAAACCCCAAACCGCCCTTCGAAAGTGGAGATCGCCAACTACGACCTGCTTTATGCGTTACCACGTAAGCTTAGTTGCCTCCAGGGTTTAGGGTTTAGGGTTTAGGATTTAGGGTTCAGGGTTCAGGGTTTAGGGTTTAGGGTTTAGGATTTAGGGATTAGGGTTTTTAGCTTATACCACGAAAAGTGTACACTTTCAGTTTTATAGGGGATTATCGTATCCCCAAAAGTGTAAAGTGTACTCATTCAGCTACTCTGTAAGGGTCTGTACACTTCCGCTGGAGGAATGAAGGACAGCTTCAGGGTGGGTACGTACAGGGTCTAGGATTTGGGGTTTAGGGTTTAGCGTTTAGGGTTTAGTTTTTTTAAATGGGAACTGCAGACGGGCCTCAGGGTTTAGGATTTGGGGAGGGGGGGGGGGGGGGGGGGGGGGGGGTTAGGGTTTAGGGCTTAGGATTTGGTGTTTAGGGATTTGGAGGTTAGTAAGCTTCCTTAAGGACATGACTACAAAATACTCATGAGCAGCCAAAAAGAACTTCAGCCCAGGAACGTCCACAAGTGAAGGCATGCATGCCACGATCTGAAAAAGCCCCAGCTGTGCCTAACCCCCAAACCCTGAACCCTAAACCCCAAACCCTAAACCCTAAACCCTAAACCTTGTATCTACCCTTGAACTCCAAAGTGGGGGCAGCAGGGGATTCCTAGACCCTAAGCTTGAAGCCCTAAACCCTAAACCCTAAACCCTAAAAGGGCCTTAAGGCCCATAGCAGATGAGCTGGAGATGAAGCATCGGTTGGCCTTTCACTGAGGTTGGTTTAGGGGTTTTAGGGTTTAGGGCTTGGGGTTTGGGGTTTGGGGTTTAGGGTTTGGGTTTAGGGTTTGGGGGTTAGGGTGGCTTGAGTGGAGGCCCTGAGAAGGCTGAGGATTCCCTGAAGTGCCCCAGGCCGACCCCTTTTCTACCTGAAGGCTCTGATGTAGCTCCTTTTTGGCACACCCTAAACCCTAAACCCTCAACCCTAAACCCTAAGCCCTAAACCCTAAACCCTAAACCCCAAAAACTGAAGGGCTCAATCCAACCCGAACTCCCGGCCTTACTCCTTTCGTAAGAGGGGTTCTGTAGGATGAAGCCCTAAACCATACCTGGGTTCCCCAGTAACCTAGGAGAAAAAAGGGCGCCCTTTGTGGTTTATAGGGGTTTATCTGGGATAAGATGATAAGAACCCAATAAAAAGGGAATAAGGTACTGCTGGGCATCCTAGACACTAGGGGGGGGATGCAGCGTGCATGCCGCCTTACTCTCAGCCAGTAAAGGCTGGCCATGTAGGCACCGAATTTAGGGTTTCCGGTGGTGTTTGGGGTTCACCTGTGGGGCTCTGTACGAAAAAAATCCGTGCCCGATTACAACATGGAAAGCGCGCACGCCCCAATATAGTCCAACCCCTGAACCCTAAACCCTAAACCCTGCACCCTAAACCTAAACCCTAAGTCCTAAGCCCTAAAGCCAATCCCAAAAGGAAATGCCAAGAATGTGCTGTCGCGGCTTCGTGCCCGAGGCGAACAAAACCAGTACTGGAAGGCTCATGGGTGGGTGACAAGTAGGATAGCGATATAATTAGGATTACGTACTGCGGTGTAAATTTTACATAAGCCAACGAAATACAGAAATATGTTTACGTATATGTTGCCACATACGCATATGTTTAATGCACCTTCGTGATAGGGCATATTCTGACCCGTGAACCTTCCATGCCGACAGAAGCCTGTATCCGTGAAAGTTCCACGAGGGCCAACGGCGCTATGGTTTGCTCTCTACATGTCTAGGGATTAGAGCTCGAGGTTGATACTGAGGCCCTAAACCCTAAACCCTAAACCCTAAACCCTAAACCCTAAACCCTAAAGCCTAAAGCCTAAAGCCTAAAGCCTAAACCGTAAACCCTAAACCCTAAACCCTAAACCCTAATCCCGTGCCTGCACAGATGCCCGAGCCAATGGGGCAAAGTTGCGCCTGGAGTCGATATGGCTAAGAGGTTGTGGAGGCCCAAACACACAAAATCGAACCTTAAGCCTTAAAAGCATATCATCACGGAAGTTGCTGAAGCTTGAATCCCTGAACCTCTAAACCCTGCTGTAGCCCGCAACGTTGAATCGTTCTGAACTCCACAAGTTCATGACACGAGATAGGAGTTTGGTCCAGTTTGGTTCACTGCGAAGGGTTCCGGCTTCAGGGCTTCGGGTTTAAGCGAAAAAGTTTCGGGTCCATAGGGCGTCGGGCTCAGGGTTCAGAGTTTAGGGTCTAAGGCTCTGGCTTTAGACCCTGCACCCTAAACCCTAAGACGTAAACCCTGATATTATACATAAGGCTTCCTCCAGGGTTTGGGGTTTAAGGCTGCAGGCTGGGCTGTGGGGCTGAGAGGTTTTGGGAGTCAAGGCCTTGGGATCAAGTGCTTAGGTTTCTGGAATTGGTGTTTAGGAAGTGGGGTTTTGGGTTTAAGGAGGGTTTAGGGTGTTCGTCTATGGCCCAGGGTCGGATAGAGAGTATGAGATTCTCTGGGTTGATCCCAACCGTGTCAACTTGCCAACGAAGCTTATTTCATTTTTCCAATAGCCAGGGAAGGGAATGATCGAGGTTAATCTGTTGAATTCTTACAACATCTGGGTGCCCGACAGTTAGGGTTTAGGGCCTAGGGTTTAGGGTTTACAGTTCAACTACTGGATAAGCAGAGCTTGGTCATGCTACAGTGCCACTTTTATGGGGATGTCTCCAATGGATTGCCTCCATGAGCTCCGATTTCCATGCAGAGCCCTATATCTAGGGTTCCCGAAAGGGGCGAGGGTTAAGATAACTGGTGGCCACATATACTGTCACATATATATATATATATATAGGTATGTACGCCTCGACTTGGTAGCCCAGTAACCATGTTGCAATAAGGGTACCCTGTTGTTGAGTTGGTTACTTTATAACAGTAAGGGAACCTTGAACGAGCAGAAAGGGCAAAAGGACACCACTGGGCTACCAAGACTATCGGTGTATGTACATGCTTGTGGTGTTGTCACAGCAAGTGCAAAGGGGGAAAATCCCTGACTCCTCAACCCGAAGCCCTAAACCCTAAGCCCTAAGCCCTAAGCCCGAAGCCCGAAGCCCTAAACCCTAAGCCCTAAGCCCTAAGCCCTAAGCATCGTATTGAATACGGCCCTTCAGGCGCCCCGCGTGGCTCTATTTCCCATTGCGGCCAGCAGCGCCATTGAGAAGAGCGCCTGCATTGCTAGCTGCCGGGTTTGTAGGGCATGGGTTCTCAGATCATGGGATCCTAAACGCAAAACCCTAAAAGCCTATAAACCCTAAACCCTATCCCCCACCGCGCGACCCCGAAACCCAGCCCACCCTCATAAGGTCTAAGAAGCCTGGGTTTTTGTCGCTCGCCGTTGTGAGGTAGTGTCTTCGGCATCCTATCTAGGCCGCACATAGACCTAACCCTAAACCCTCTGGGCTACCGCTAGCCCTAAACCCTAACCCTAAACAATAAACCCTCAGCCCTAAATCCTAAACCCTAAACACTGAACCCTAAACCGTGAGGACTCACGGTGCACACGACTTCAACAAACCCAGGTCCAGCTAGGGGGAGGGGGGGGGTGGAATCTACAGCATCGGACCTTCTTACGTACTACGCCCTAAACTACCTGGGCCAGGGAGGGGGGGCTGTTTCTGGAAACCCCAAATACTCGTAAGCAAGGCTTGAAACCACGAAGCCTTTGGGTATTAGTACATCGCCGGGTGATTCGAGGGGTCGAGGTAGTTTCCTGAAGCCTAAAATACCCGAACATCCCTGAAACCCGAAACCCGAAACCCGAAACCCGAAACCCGAAACCCGAAACCCTAAACCCTAAACCCTAAACCCTAAACCCTAAACCCTAAACCCTAAACCCTAAACCCTAAACCCTAAACCCAGCCCTCCTGCGCCTGTTTCGATGCGATCGCCCTTCGGATGCTTCGACTCTGCATGGACCAAAGTGGCTGCGGGCAACAGACAAAGGCGCTTGTGCAAGTAATCTAACCTCATCAAGCTCCCGAGCCTGACGAGGTTGGGGTTTCGGGCTTCGGGTTTAGGGTTTAGGGAAGGTTGCTTCGTGTGCCTGCGCACGGAAAGTTGTGGGTTTCCGGGTTCAGGGTAATTAATGGGTATGCGCCTGCACCCGAGTCCTTTGTGAGCCCCTCTCGCAGTACAGCTTCCGAACTCACATCTTCGTAACGGCAACTCGCCGACTTGCGGAAGCTTTGGAGCTGCACAGCATACTTCTCTCTATATGCATATGCAGGCATACTTTGTGGTACTGCATTACAAATTACATGATATCGCATGTCATTTGGTTTCTTCACAGTACATTCCCTTGCATTGTCGTGTTTATGTTGTAGCTTATAGTTCTTAAGTATAATGACTTACTTGCAAAAGTCAGTACTATGTTATACAAAAACTATGCAACATAACATGCTTAACACAAACATTCAGCCTCTCAAGCTCAGCACCGCAACAACACCTGCATAGTCTCTGGGCAGATCGTCCACTAGCACTACTATGGACACCAGCCCAGTAACCATATTACAATAAGTGCACCCTTTTTTGGTTGGTTACTTTACAAGGGAGCTCGGAACCAAAAAGAAGGGCAAAGGGTACCACTGGGCTACCAAGGACACGAAGTGGCCGTAAGAGTTCTGCAGTGCCGTGCTTGCACGCGCTGTCAGCAGCACTTTTCTTGATAAACAGCGTCACATTCGGAAGGTGCTCTGTCCGTGAAGGCATCTGGCTGTGCCTGCAAGATGCACTGATGGTGGTTGGCTAACTTCGAGAGCGGTCGGTATAGTGCACAATTCCCAGGCTTGAGGCCATGCGTTGTACCTGCAAGACTTGCACTGCCAGCCTTGGGCATATGCAGTGTTGCACTTCTCACAGGACAACTGATGGCCCGGATTTAGCTTTCCACCCTTGTGCATCTGCATTGGTTGTGTTGGATGTTTCATCAAGAACTTCAGGGCACGCTCGTGGACTCTCCGGCGGAGGTCCAAATCTTCATAGCATGGGCTCCAGTCCTGCACTCCTTGGGCCAAGAGGTGATCAACACAAACATCCACGTAGTCCGCCATCTGGTATGTGTGCGCCTGAAGCAAGCGCTGCATGGAGGGCGGCTACTTCCTGATGAACTCCAGGCATTCACATCTCAATGCGTCAATGCAGTACTCTTGGCACCATTTCAGCAAGAAGTCGACATTCTCCACAGACAGTGTCTGCAGCCGGCCACTGCCCGGCAACAGAAACGATATGAGGGTCCTGAACTCTTGCGGGTCCTTTCCCGGCAGCTGGATCTTCTTGCATACCGCCTCCTTCACGCTCTTGAAGATTGGGGATGCGAGCATAAGAACGCCCGCATTTACCTGGATTTCGGTGGCAGCTGTGTCATCAAACACAACAGCGATGTCCTCCATGAGTGCTGTTATTGAACACACCACAAAGCTTGACATCTGTGTGCTGCGGCATTGGTAGCTGTTGACAAAGCTGACGAGAGGCTATAGTCGCACATGGAGGACTAGAGTAGAGTATGGTAGACGAAGACATCGAACTGCATACTACATAGCATAGTGCGCACGTCTTGTGGTCAAGGGATCTTCGAACTGTTTCAGGATGAGCGTGGCTTTGACGGAAGCCTGACATCGCCACGAACCAAATGTTCGGAGGAACCAGGAAGACCCTTTAAAAGCCTCCGAAATATAGTCTAAAGCATGATCTTGTAAACCCAATAAGGCTCTAAGCGAAAATGTGCAAAATCCCAAGGGCTTATCAAGGAATCATAGTGCTTCAAGCTCAGTGCGTTGAGCTCGAGGATAGGATGCTTGGACTAGGACGCGGACGCGCATCTCTTGAACACATTTTTCAGCTTGGCGGCTCTGTACACTGACCCGCATCGTGCTCTTGTACGCTTTACGTACCTGTGCGAGCACGATCCTGTTATCTCCCGCCTTTGCAACGCAAGGAGACGACGCTTTGACGTCAACTTGCCTCATGCGCTGGGTGGGAACCCTAAACCCTAAACCCTAAACCCTAAACCCTAAACCCTAAACCCTTAAACCCTAAACCCTAAACCGCAGCAGCACCATGGCGCAGCAGCACATGCCACAACAACTTCAGCTCTTGCAGCGCTTTCTCCGGAGGTCCCCAACTCTGCGACGCACCCTCGGCTGCATCGCGTGCCGCGGCCCCGAGCAAGGCTGGCGTCAGCATGCCTTCCTTGGGGACCCCTAAGATTGGGATCATATACCCTATACTATACTTACTCTAAGTACTACTAAGGTAAAAATTGGGATCGTATACCCTATACTATACTTACTCTAAGTACTACTATAGGGTATATGAAGCCATGAACCCTTTTAGGGTTGATTCTCATCCCCAAGGTTCGGGCGCCACCATGCGAGCCAGGGTAGGCATGCGTGGTCCGCGGAAGTCCTTGGGGACCGCGTCAACAGACAGCGCAGACCCAGCGTGCCAGTGAAGAAGGATGCCGTACTGGCTCGCTATGCTTTGCAGCTGGGCGCCCACGGGGGTATCCTTGAATGAGTTCTTGGGCCCCCTACTAAAATTGTGGTCATGTACCCTATACTACGATTATTACTCTTGAGGTAATGTGAACCCTAAACCCTCTGAACCGTAAAGCTGCTAAACCTTCTAAACCCTAAACCCGAAACCCTAAACCCGAAACCCTAGACACTAAACCCTAAACCCAAAACCCTAAACACTAAACCCTAAACCCAAAACCCTAAACACGAAACCCTAAACCCAAAGCCCTAAACACTAAACTCACTAAACCCTAAACCCTTTTAAGGTTCATTTCGTCCCCCAGGTCCTTGAATGATGGGTCCGCCACCAGGGCATCCACGTCCCGGGCCAAGTCGACCTGGCCGTGAACCTTGGGGACGAAAGGAACCCTAAAACGGGCTTAGGGTTTAGGGTTTAGGGCTTAGGGTTCTTCATAGTAATTGTAGTAGTATAACATGTTTCTACGTAGAGAATACTTGGGCCTTAACGTACTTCCTTTTATAAGGACTTTGGGGCCCAAGCATAAAATAATCAGGTACACGGACCCTTACGGGTAGTACAGGGTATATGACCTTAACAGTAATTATAATAGTGTACCATAATAGTAGTAGCATTTAGTATACCTTAATAGCAATTCTAGTAGTATACCTTACTCGCAATTTATAGTAGTACAGGGTATATGATCCTAATTAATTATAGGGTTCATATTTGGTCCCCAAGAAACCTGGGCTTCGATGTAGTGGTCCAGGTTCCTTGCAGGTGGGTAACTCCACCTGGGTTGTGCTTGCCATAAACTGCCGCTGGATTCCCCCTACGCATCTCTACACTCTACACCTACACAGCTCAGTGAGATCATCTTAATATTTAAACACAGTGCTCTTGAGCCCGAAAAGAAAAAAGAAACGCCTGCCGAACCCCAAACACTTTAAGCCATCCCTAAACCCTAAAACCTAAACCCCTAAACCCTAAACCCTAAACCCTAAACCCCTAAACCCCTAAACCCCTAAACCCCTAAACCCCTAAACCCCTAAACCCCTAAACCCCTAAACCCCTAAACCCCTAAACCCCTAAACCCCTAAAAACCCCTAAACCCCTAAACCCCTAAACCCCTAAACCCCTAAACCCCTAATACCCAAACCCCTAAATCCCTAAACCCTAAACCCTAAACCCCTAAACCCCCTAAACCCTAAACCCTAAACCCTAAACCCTAAACCCCTAAACCCCTAAACCCCTAAACCCCTAAACCCTAAACCCTAAACCCTAAATCCTAAACCCTAAACCCTAAATCCTAAACCCCTAAACCCCTAAACCCCTAAATCCTAAACCCTAAACCCTAAATCCTAAACCCCTAAACCCCTAAACCCCTAAACCCCTAAACCCCTAAACCCCTAAACCCCTAAACCCGAGAATTGCACGTGCCGAAGGCACATGTCGACCAGCGGCGCTTGGAGGACGTCCAAGATGCGACGCGCCAGCGCGGGAGGGCGCAAGCCGCCAATGCCCAGTGCACCATCTCGCATGAAGCCTTAATGTAGAGGTTTATAGGCTTGAGGATATGGGGATGGGGCTCTAATGGGGTTATAGGGGTTCTGGTTTAGGGTGAGCATGGAAACGCGTTGCCTGTTTATGAGTATGCTCTTGCTGAAGAGAACCCAACCCAACACAGAGAAAACACACACACACACATAGCAGGGAGAAATCAGAGTACTAGCTGCTCCACCCTACATCCTAAACCCTAAACCCTAAACCCTAGAACTGCTCGGTGTCCCAGAAGCTCTCTTGGAACAATTCTGACAGGATGTCCTCCCACGCTTCACAGGTGCCTCGGGTCGGAGGGCTGAGATGGGAGTCGCCATAGCAGAAGGTGGCTCGCTTGCTGGTCTCAGGTGACCTGGGTTAGGGCTTAGGGTTTAGGGTTGAGGGTTTAGGGTGACCCCTGGAAAAAGTCTGTACTTGCTTGGGCGACTTCAGGTGCAAAAGTTGATTACCGACCAGCCTAGTGACAGCACAAAGTAGCAAGAGCCAAAGCGTGGCGCAGGACCGTCCGCTTGCCCGAGCAGGAACAGGGCGCCGTACTTCGGGCGCCAGCAGGGAGCAGCCTCCTGGTAGGCCTGGCCGAACAATGCATTCCTTGGCAATGGAGCTCCAAAAGGGTTTATGGCTCATGTACCTTAATAGGACTTCGTGTAGTGTAGCTGAGGTAATCATAGGTTCTGTGACCCCCCCTAATTTTAGGGTTCATGTTTTCCCCGAGGTTCTCCCACTGGTCTCGTTTCCCCCCTGGTGCTGAGTCGACCCTGCCGTTGGAGATCTGCGACTCGAACTGGCTCTGGATGCAACCTAGACCCGGGAGTAACCTAGGAATAAAAGGGCGCCCTTTTTTGGTTTAAAGGGGCTTATAAGGGGAACCCCCAACACAAAAACAAAAAGGAAAAACCTCGCAACCTGTGGGGGCCCTACATCATTCCTTAAAGGGTAGATAATGGGGCCCTCCTTCCCTCATCCCCTACCAAGAACCAGGGGGCCTGTGGCAAGCAAGGATCCTGCGACGGTCTCCCCCTTCACCAGGCGGTCCGGGTGAAAATGGATGGCAACCCGTGCCTGGGTCGTCAGCACACCTTGGGGAAAAGAACCCTAAAAGGGTTGAGGGCTCATACGACCTTAATAGTATGGTTCATATTGCCCTTAATAGTAATTAGAGTAGTACAGGGTCGTCAGCACACCTTGGGGAAATGAACCCTAAAAGGGCTTATGGTTTCATATTACACCTTAATTGTAATTGTGGTAGTATCCTACAAGGGTTTAGGGTTCATACTACCTTTATAGTAAGTTATAGTAGTATAGCTTTATGGTTCATATTGCCCTTTCTAGGAATTAGAGTAGTATAGGGTCGTCAGCACACCTTGGGGACGACATGAACCCTAAAAGGGTTTAGGGTTCATATTACCTGAATAGTAATTATGGTAGTATGGCTTTATGGTTCATATTGCCCTTACTAGTAATTACAGTAGTATAGGGTCGTCAGCACACCTTGGGGATGAAATGAACCCTAAAAGGGTTTATGGTTTCATACTACCTTAATAGTAATTCTAGTAGTATGGCTTTGTGGTTCATATTGCCCTTACTAGTAATTATAGTAGTAGAGGGTAATATGACCCCAATGGTTCATTTGGTCACCAAGGCACGAGTCAGCTTCTCCAGAGTGTCCGTTGGCAGATCACTCATCTCCTGGGTTCGTCAGTAACCTAGGAGAAAAAGGGCACCCTTTTTGGCATATAGGGGTTTAAATCGGGTAAGGACCCAATAAAAAGGGAATAAGGGTACGACTGGGCATCCTAGTCTCAAATATCTCCATCAACGTCTCCCTGGCACGCTGTAGCCGCGGCTCTGCCACCTCGTGCACATGTTTGATCGCGACCTCTGCAGGAGTGGCTCTGCACGGTTCGGACATGGCCGACCCTCTGCGCACTCTCGTGAAGGGCTCAAGAACTGACGCTTGCGAGCCAGAGGAACCGGGCAACGACTGCAACGCTCAGGGTTGTGGTTGCTGATCCCGAGATGCTAGATATACTAGTTCATGGTTGGGATAGTATTGAGAATTTAAATTCCTAGTCCTTATTGAGTTTTAGTACCCTTAAAAATGTAGCATGTTACCCCACTATTGACAAAGTATAGGTCACCCTCAACCGTAGTGACCCTAAACCCTAAAAACCCTAATAAACCCCCAAAAAAAACCCTGAATCAGGCTGCAGGGACCCCTTCGATTGGTTGCCGGGTTTGTCAGAGCACGTAAGCTCAAAGCACCGAAGTTCTACTGGGGGGGGGGGGGGGGGCGGGGGTTCGTTCAGAAAATGGGATTGTACTGTTTTTGTTGTTGCTTTTTTGGGGGGTTCTAGCGAGTCCAACGGCAGACTGGGATTTTGGCTATGTCCTGAATTGAAGTCTATGTTTTTGGGGAGTGTACATAGCGGCTTTGTTGTCTTGGGAAATGTTCAAAGGGGGCAAGAGTAATGGGGTCGAGGGTTGCAGGGTGTAGGCTTCGGGGAGAACCACAGGCCTCTCAAAGCCAAAACCAACTCGCGCTTGGCAGAGTTTCCTACTTCTTGAAGGTTCACGGGTACTTATAACCCCAGTGATTAAATCTACTGATCACCTACTTAGGGGACGCGGGGGGGCTCCTAAGTACTGCTATATAATTGGGGCTCTAGGTGCTCATGGGCTCTCTGTGACACCCGACGGCGTTTGTCTGTTCTTCAGTCAGCTTAAAGGCTCCGTGACTCTGTGAAGATCGCGGCTGTCTGAGAGCTGAGTTCTAGGATAGTGAACCCGACGACCGTAAATCCTAGAGCCTCAACCCTGGAAACCGGAACACCCAACCTCAACAGACCCTTCTGAAGGCCCTAGGCCCCGAAAGCCATCCTTCTCCCATCCGAAAGAGCAGACAGCCGCGTCTCACAAGGATGTGAAGAAATCTGATGTAGCTACTGGGCCTTGACGGAGGCCTTGGAAATACAGCGCCAACCCTGATTAGACTTGTAATCCTATCCTTCTGAACTCCTACGCCCTGATGACTATCGACCTTCTCGCCAAAACACCTCAGTCTGTTAGTCAGCTCATGAAAGGAATTCAACTATCGGCCGGTGCGGATTCGCTTCCGCATCTTGCGCATGACCTCGGCTCTTTGTGGGCAAGATCATGGGTTGTGCCAAATTTGAAGCCCCTGAACCCTAAACTTCATACACCCTGAAACCTAAACCCTAAACCCTGAACCCTAAACTTCATCTACGCGCACGCCCTGAACCCTACAATTCACTTCTCAAACCCCAAGACCCTTGCACCCTGAACCCAAAAATACGAACCCCAAAACTTCGGAAGCCCTAAGCTTCCTCCACCCTATTCCCTCAAGCCTGAACCCTCAACAACAATGCAAAACCAATGCTACAAGTGGGACAAATATGCAGAGGTATGTGTATACATGTATACATATATATATATATGTTTTCTGCATATATATATATATATACATACATCGGTAGAACTACATATATGGTCAGGTCTCAACAAATAAGGTCACTTTTTGGGGTACCCTGAAGAATAGGTGTATAGCTATTGGATTAGATATAAACTCAGCTATGTTCTTCTAACCCTGCGTATCGCTACCCTAACCCTAACTCTAATCCTGGACCCGAAGCCGCAGAAGGGACATGGTTTGAGAGTTCTATGCTTTGGGCTGGCTTAGATGCTCAAAACCCTGAACCCGGATAACCCTACTATTATTCCTAATCACCCTAGTTCACTCTAATAACCGTAAAGCCTTACCCTAAACCCTAAACCCTAAACCCCAAACCCTAAACCCTAAACCCTAAATGTAAGCCGAGCCCCCCGACCAGACCCCGCGGGCGACATCCTCGATTCGCCGGCTTCGGAATTCGGGCCATGGGAGAACGGTTGGCGCCTGGGCTGGGGGTTTAGGGGTTTAGGGGTTTACGGGTTTAGGGGTTTAGGGTTTAGTGTTTAGGGGTTTAGGGGTTTAGGGGTTTACGGGTTTAGGGGTTTAGGGGTTTAGGGGCTTCAGGGCTTATGAGGTTTAGGGGGTTAGGGGTTTAGCCGTTTAGGGCTTCTGGTTTACGAGTTTGGGGGGTTTAGGGTTTGTGCAAATGGGTCTGGGGTTAAGGGTTTAGTTTAGGGCTTTGGGCTGGCGACTTGGGGGTTTGCAATTGGGGGGGGTAAATTAAGGCTTCGGGCTTGGACCCAGGATTTTGGGGTTTAGGGTTGAGGGTTTAGGGTTTAGGGTTTAGGGTTTGCAATTGGGGGGTAAATTAAGGGTTCGGGTTTAGAGAACCTAACTCTGAGTTACGGGGTTACGTTCCCTGACTGCAGGGAATAGAGGCGACCACGGCCGATAGTTTTCATGACCCAACGCCTCCGTCTGCGCACCCTACCCAAAGGGAACCCCCTGACTTTACTCACTGTAGTTAAGGGGCTTGTATTGGGATGTTCCCCCTTTTACAAGCAATCCTTAATAGGGACAATAAAAGGTGTACTACAATACCTATTAAGGACTGTTAGTATATGGGGACCACCCATTGGCTTATAACCTAAATTAGGATCCTTATAACCCAGTTTGGGAACCCCAAAAGAATGAAAAACAAAATATTCCCTACATCACCCTTAATAAGGAATGTGATTTCTTATTTTCGGGGATTCCTGAGCAATTGGTAGATATAACTCTACTCATAAACTCCTTGTAGACTCTAGGGGTCGTGCGATGGTCCCATATGGTATGATCCAATACCTCCTTTCAAGGGTTCTGAAGCATGACCCCTCGGGCTTGATGGGGGAAATAAGGGGTGTATACGGGGTCCCCTTTAAAGGGTCCATATTAAGGGGCCATGTAACTACCCTTAACATAGACGTGGAAACCACCTAAACCCTAAAACCCTAAAACCCTAAACCCTAAACCCTAACACTTAACCCTAAACCCTAAACCCTAAACCCTAAACCCTACACCCTACACCCTAAACCCAAAACCCTAAACCCTAACCCTGTTTGGCCCCTAAGCCGCGAACATTCGATCACTGCTTCGTCGCTGTGCGTAGTCTCGCCTGCCAGTGGCTGCTCGGTCCGGTTTAGGGTCTAGGGCTTCGGGTTGGGATGTTCCCCCTTATACTAACAGTCCTTAGTAGGGATTATAGTACCCCCTACTATAATCCCTAGTAAGGACTGTAGTATAAGGGGGAACATGTCAAGTTTAGGGTTTAGACAGTGCAGGTTCAGGGTGGGGCAAATACCTAAGTTAGAGCCCTCAACAAAGGATCCAGGCTCATCACCCCAAATCCGCAAATTTCTCGGAGCCCTGTTCACTCACTGAACCCGAAGCTGAGCCCCGAAGCCCTAAGCCACCCTAATCCCCAAAACCTTGAACCGCAAGACCAGACCAGGGCCCGCAAGGGTTTAGGGTTTAGGGTTTAGGGTTTAGGGTTTAGGGTTTAGGGTTTAGGGTTTAGGGTTTAGGGTTTAGGGCAAGTCATTGACTAGATGACGTGTTTCTCTCTCGCACACACCTTATCCCACGCCGCGGTCTGCGATTCGCAATCGGACCGGCAGATGTTCAGGAACAAACGTTACACCTAAACCCTAAACCCTAAGCGCTAAACCCTAAACCCCTAAACCCTAGGTACTTTCCCAATCCGATGATTCATGACAACGGACTGCTGATTGTCCATAGTTAGTCGACGTCTCACTAGTCATGAAAGTCAGCGTTGGATGTCGCAAGAACTGCAACTTGCCCTGATACCACTGAAAGCTCCGGGAAGCCTGTGGGCTTTCTGGGAGCCTGCATTCCCCTAAACCCCTAAACCCTAAACCCAAAAACGTTTGAAAGCATGCGCTTGAAGTGAGCATATTTCCCTAAGCCCTGAAAGGAAAAAGAATAGGAGGGCGCTTGAAGGTTCACGGGTAGCTAGAAGTACCCTGCTTAAGGATATAACTACAGTTATCCTACTCTTAGCCCTGCTTCTGCCTACCCATGAACCTCCAAGTAAGCCCCTCTACAGCCAAGAACAGCACCTTGACATTGACTCAAGATCTCTCTCCGCCCACTGCAAACCCGCAACAAATCCCGCACCCCCAAGCACAACACCCTGAACCCGAAACCCTACCCTACACCCTAAACCCTAGACCCTAAACCCTAAACCCTAAACCCTGAACCCTAAACCCTAAACTAAGTGAGGGGTCGCTTCCGTCGAGCGACAGACCCCGAACGCTCGGCCGAGGGCCTTACAGCCCGAGCGCCCAAGCGAAAAAGAGAAACGGAAAGGTGAGGGTTAAGCCTCACCGTCTGTCCTGGACAGGCCAACGGACATCGGCCTTTTTTACGACAACGTCAGTACTCGGGTAAGGGATGGCCGGCACCCAGACCACCTTTAGCGTAGCTAAAGTATAACCCCAAATCGTACAGGGTTTTGGATTCAGGGTTTGTCGGGCCCCCCCCGCCCGGGGGCCCCCTGGTCCCTGGTAGCTGGATTCCTGGACCAGGAGGCTGGCGAGGGGTCCAGGCAGGCTGGTTGCTGCCCCGCCCCCCGGGCCAAGCGCCCCTCTTCGGGCCAACGGCCGCCCCCCAAGCCAAGCGGCCCCCGCAGCCAGGCAAGGGACACCTTGGCAAGGGCCCCCGCCCGGGCCAAGGGGCCCCCCCCCCAAGGGCCCCCCCTCCAAGGCCCCAGAGCCAAGGGCCGGGGTCAAGGGCCCCCTTACGATGCCTGACCAACCTCCAATCCAGGACCGTGCCAAGACCCCCGAACCAGGGCTCGGCTCAGGGCCTAGGAAGCCCCCAAGAGGCGCCAAGAGCCACCAAAAGGCTTCAAAAGCTTCAAAAGGCAAACTAAAAGAAAGGGGACCACAAGATTTGTCCGTGTCCACAATGAAAAATGCGATTTTTGAATATTGAAAACA